TTCGGGACGGCTTCTCCCTCCCTGGGATCAGCGATGGGAATGGTCTTTGGGATGGCTTCTGCTGGGTCTTGTAGCCTGTTAGTCCAGTGCCTGCCTAGGGGGTCTAGCAACTGTACTATCTTTTCCCAAACCCAGGAGCTGTGAACTGATCTAAGATGGACTTTGTCTTAATTTTTTTTCTTATCTACACCTTCTGTTGTTAATTTAGGCACCACGGTATGGTGTCGTAAACACTTTTCACTATTTCTTGTTGTAAAAAATACAAGTGACAATAAATGACTATTGTGTTCTATTCTACATCCTGTTAGGATGAGGGTTGTACTGTCCAGTGGAAAGAGGTTGTACTGTAACTACTAAAGGGGAGGGCTGAATGGCCTCATTGTGCACTGCACCCATCCTATGATTCGATCTCTGTGATGTCCCCCAGTTGTACAGCCCTCTGAGAGCCCGAGCTCTCTTCCAATTCCTAACCCTAAGCCTTACAATGCTATGTCTTCAGCTACATTGGCCTTCAGCTCATGAATTTCTTCCAGCCTCTCCTCTGTTCAGCTCTTTGGCGAAGTAGGTAATTTAAGGCAGAGAGGAGGAAGAATCACTTCACTCAGAGGATGGTAAATCTTCGCAATTCCCTATCTCAGAAGACACTCAATCCGGAAGCTAATGGCATTAAGTGGCAGTATGGGAAAGTGGCAGTGAGGTAGATGTTGGGCCAGGGCAGAGCATCCTCAATGAGCTGCATTGCCTACTCCTGTTCCTATGTTCGTGAGATTTGGCTTGTTGGACCTGAAGAAGTGGTAGTGCGGAGGTATGGTCACTGGACTAGCAATTCAGAGACCGAGGCCAATGCTTTGGTAGATGTGGGTTCAAATCTCACCATGGTGGTTGGTGACATTTTAATTTGCTAATTAAAGAGGAGGTAGTGGCCTAGTGGTATTGTTGCTGGATTGTTAATCCGGAGACCCAGGCAATGTTCTGGGTACCCAGGTTCGAATCCCACCACCGCAGATGGGAGAAGTTGAATTCAACAAAAATCTGAAATTAAGAGTCTAGCGATGACCATGAATCCAGTGTTGATTGTTGGGGAAAAATCCATCAGGTTCACTAATGTCCTTTAGGGAAGGAAACTGCTATCCTGACCTGGCCTATATGTGACTCCAGACCCACACCAATGTGGATGACTCTTAACTGCCTTACAAAGTGGCCTAGAAAGCTGCTCAGTTCAAGGGTAACTAGGGATGGGCAGTAAATGCCAGCCTTGCCAGTGAAGCTGACATCCCATACATAAATTAAAAACCATTCAGAGGCTCTGTGTCAAATTTGTCCAATAAACATTGCAGTGAAGTACCTTGGGATATTTCAATGTTATCAAAGAGGCCATACCATTGTAAGGTCATTGCCTATCATTGTTGCTTCTTCTATACCCACTTCTGTGTCAGTCTTCCTGACACCTCCAGCAGCTAGGGATTTACAGAATGCAACTCACCATGGTGGCTCAGTGGTCAGCACTACGGCCTCATGACACCAGGAACCTGGGTTTGATTCCACCCTCAGCTGATTGTCCGTGTGGAGTTTGCACATTATCCCTTTGTCTGCGTGGGTTGTCTCCGGGTGCTCCGGTTTCCTCTCTCAGTCCAAGGATGTGCAGGTTAGGTGGGTTGGCCGTGCTAAATTTCCCATAGGGTCCAGGGATGTGCAGGCTAGGTGGGTTGGCCATGGGAAATGTAGGGATAGGGTAGGGGAGTGGGTCTGGGTGGGATGCTCTCCAGAGAGTTGGTGTAGATTCAATGGGCCAAATGGCCTGCTTCCACATTGTAGGGATTCTGCGAACCCATTCCCCAAAACAAACCATTCCACCTCTGAGGTTGGTGGATGTCTTTGGACAGAATACACACAGAGTGAAGAACATTGAGTTGGCGGGAGGGGGGATTGCTTAAAGGGGTAAGCCACCTTAGACACACCTGAGAAAGTGTTTTATATCAGACTGCTCCCGAGCAGCAGGAAGTTGAACAAATGTCACTCACCTTCAATATAGACCTCTGCGGATGTTGTGTCTGATCCGAAGCAGTTGGTTGCTGTACAGCTGTAGCGTCCAGTGTCGTCTTCGAAGGCTTCAGCAATAGCTAAAGTGCAGAGGTCACCATCCTGGGATATCCGGATATCTGGGGAATTCTCCAACTCCCTTCCCTCACAGAACCATCTGCGGATTTAGGCAAATAGAAACGGAGAACATTATATCTACCTTTCAATTAGCCTGCAGCCAGAAAGAAACAAGCAACTTGAAAGTAAAATCTATCCCATGTCGGAGGATGAACAGCTCAGGGAGAGGCCACTGTGAAGCTTTGAAAGCTCAGGGCAAATGAGTTCAACAACCTACATGGTAAAAATGACAACTTAAAGGAAACTTCAAGCTCACCCTCTTAACAGAACAGAAGTGTATAGTGTACTTCACCAGCCACACCCTTCTGAATATTAACAATATACGCATTTTCTTCATAATGAGGGTTGAACTGTAACTAAAGACAACTTATCTGGGCGGTTCCTTCAAAAAAATACTGGATAGTAAAGGAGAGTGGTGGACTCCGATTGCAATCAGAGTACCGGAAGAAGGGGGTGATTAGATAATGGATGTAGCAAAGTACAGTATAGAGCAATGCTATTAGTTGACAATGAGTGTAATCAGCGCAAACCAGGAGCCAGTGCCAGGACCTAATGTTAGCATTCCACATTTTTCCAACGGGAGGGGTTGACCTGCTAACTTTATGACAGCTCTGTGAAACTCAAACCCTCAATGAGACAGGATTCCGTGACGAGACTTTTCTTCTTGTAAGCTCTCATCTTGCCTGCCAACATTCAGTGTCGTTTGACCCGGATTGGAAGGAGCTGAGATTTAGGACTCTGCCAATGAGGTACTGAGCTATCGCTGGAGGCCAGCCATTTTTTCTGCTTATCCATCAGAAACCACCTCGTGGTGTTTGATTGTTCTGTGCCTGTTGATGAGGGTCTCATAATGTGATTGATTGATTGGTTTAGCCTGGTTGTAGACTCAGAGCAAAATAAATTGACATGGCAGAAACTATTTAAAACATTTGTGTCAACGACAAATTTGCCAGTCTTGCCTCCCACATTTAAGTCCAAATAACAGCAGGATTATCCAACACTGAACCCTGTGGAACACAATGGGAAACCACTTTCCATTTGCTAAAATATCCAATGTCTTTTGTTTCTTGTCAGTTGGCCAATTTTGGATCCAACATATCCCCTATATCCCATAAGCCTTTACTTTTCTAACTAGCATTCCATGTGGAACCTTGTCAAACACCTTCCCAAACTACACGGGCCTCTTCAATTCTCTTTATTATTCCCTCAAAAAATTAATTTATGCTCATCAGAAACAATCTTATAGGAACAGGAGTGGGCCATTCAGCCCTCAAGCCTGTTCCACCATTCATTGAGATCATAGCTCATCCGTGACCTAACTCTATATTCCTGCCTTTTGCCCCATGTCCCTCGAACAAAACTTTATCTCAGATTTAAAGTTAATTAAAATTAAAATAACACCTGATCCGGCAATACCTTTCCTTAACAAAACTATGCCTTCTGACCCTGCTTAATTTGCCCCTTCCTTGTCCTGTTTCTCAGAATTGATTCTGATAATTTTGCCCACCACCCAAGTCAGATTGACCAGCCCTTACTTATTTAATGAATCCCTTGTTTTGATTTAATTTGATTTGATTTTATGTATTATTGTCACAGTGAAAAGTTTTATTTTGCGTGCAGTACAGGCAGATCATACCATACAAAGTACATGAGGGTAATAGAACAAAGCGAGGAATACAGTGTTATGGCTGCAGAGAAGGTGCACACAGAGCAATATCAACATTAAATTTAAAATTTGAGGGGACCATTCAGAAGTCTAATAACAGCGAGGAAGAAGCTGTTCCTGAATCTATTCCTAGAAGTAAACAAGTGTTTGTATCTTCTGCCCGATGGAAAAGGGTGGAAGATAGTTTAACCGGGGTGGAGGGGTCTTTGATTATGTTGGTTACCTTCCCAAGGCAGCGGGAAGTATAGATGGTGCCCTTTTTAAACAACGGTACAACATTTGCAGACCTTCAATCCTACTGAGGATTGAAAAATGATCTTCAACAGCATCTGCTATTTCTTTGCTGGCTTCCTTCAACAGCCTGGGATACAATCCATCTGCGCCTGATCATTTATCCAACTTAAAGGATGTTAGCTCCTGCAATATTCCCTATCATCTTACACTTATTTTACCATAGAGAGGAAAGGTCTTTCATTATTCTGTTGATAATTCTTTTTACTGTGTCAGCCAACGCTCCCACACCATAACCCAATAAAAGATGGTGGCAGAGTGGCAATTTCACTGGTATTTGTAAGCCAGCAGGTCCAGACTAATATTCTGAGAGCATGGGCTTAAATTCCAACACTGCAGCTGGTAGAATTGCATCAATCTAGAATTGAAAGTCATTCTCAGTAATGGTGACCATGAAAATGTCATTGAATGTTGTTAAAAAAATACCCATCTGGCTCCCTAATGCCTTGTTGGGGAGGTAATCTAACATGATGCGGTCGGTATGAGCTTACAAACTCACAAACAACATGGTTAAATCTTTACTATTGTCTGATGTGGCCAAGCAAGTTGAGGGCTCAAAGAAAACAGAGGTCAGAGAATCGTTGATCTTCTTAGCTCTTCCTCTGCAGCACTTTCCAAACCCGCAATCTCTGCCATCTAGAAGGACAAGGGCAGCAGATACATGGGAATGCCACCCCCTGCAAATTCTCGCCAAGCCACGCATCATCCTGACTTGGAAATATATCACCGTTCCTTCACTGTCACTGGGTCAAAATCCTGCAATTCCCTCCCTAATAGCATTGTGGGTCAACCCACAGCACATGGACTGCAGAAGTTCAAGATGGCAGCTCACCACCACCTTCTCAAGGGGCAACTAGGAATGAGCAATAAATACTGGACCAGCCAACAACTCAGATCCCCCAAATGAATTAAAGAGCAGTGATGTCCTTTGTGTAATGCAGTGGCTAGCACTGTACACAAAATTCCAGCAATGGCCTAAACAACAATTTATTCAGTTCCAGCATTTTGTATTCTACGCCTCATCCAATGAGGGGAAGCGTTCCACATTCCTTCTTTACCACCTTTTCTTTCTGCCCTGCCACCTTCAATGACCAACGAATATGAGCTTCAAGGTCTCCCACTTCCTCTCCCTCTCTCAATCCCCCTCTCGTTGTAAGGACCCAGGGACCGCAATGGTTCAAGACGGCAGCTCACCAACACCTTCTCAAGGGGCATCTAGAGACGGGCAATAAATGCTGGACTCGTCAGTGTTGCCTTAGCGGTTGAAATAATAGCTAAAGGAATAAAAGTGGCACAGACATCAACAGAGTGGGGCTTCTGGGCCACAATAGGTGGTGTTCAATCGAATGGTCAAGCACAATGCATATGATTGGTTGATGAGACAGAAAGCTGCCATGGAGGCCTTGTGTCTGGTACGCAGTGTGTGGATGAGAAACAGAATCAGATTCAATCCGAGTCTTCAAAACTAAATTGGATTAATCGTTGCAGAAGAATGAAGCACAGGGCTCTGGGGATACAAAGCAGTGGGAAAACAGGCTAATTGCACGATCCTTAGAAGATCCAGCATAGGCACAATGGGCTGAAGGGTGCCTCTCCATGCTTACAATTCTGTGGCTTGCAACTCATACAAATGTTGGCACTGAAACACATCATGTGGATATTAGCGTTGTTATGCCAAGTGTCTTATTTACGCTTTCAACAGCATTGGCAATCCTCATCTTGACAAGTACATGAGGAAAAAGAAAAAGTGACATTATTTTATATGTCTGTTCCAGAGAAGGCATCGCAAGGGCTTGGAATTCCTCTTCTAATGAAAACCAGTACAGTTTCGACACTATTTTTTTAAAAAAGTTTAACCTGTTTTTCTAATCAACCTGTTCAGAGATGTTATTACACACCTCTGGAGCAGGTCGGGCTTGAACACTAACACTGCGCCACAAGAGGGGCCCCTCACTCAACTCTGTATAATTAGTGACTCGTTGACAAAACTGCATTCTCAGAATTTGCACGTTTGCTGGCTGCAAATTCACCACTCGTTAAGGAGAGAGAAAAAGCAGACGTCGCCTTGTTTTCAAATCAACGGAGCAATGTCAGACATTCCACTGGCTGCAAGCATTGAGCCTCAAGGCTGTCAACTCTCTAGGAATGCCCTGGAGTCTCCAGGAACTCAAGTTTAATTTCCTGGACAACCACAAAGAGCAAAGGCCAGTGAGAAACGTCCGCAGGGAATTGTGCTTTCCCCCCTACTTTTCCTTGAGATTGAACACTTTGGTTTGTAAATAGATCAGACGATTGATAGACAAGTTGGCTCAGCTCTCCTTGGAGAGAAGAAAGCTGAGAGCAGGTTTGATCAAGGGTTTCAAAATCATGAGTATGCTGGATAGAGTAGAAAGGGAGAGGCTGTTCCCACTTGTAAATGCAATGAGGGCACAGATTTAAAGTGATGTGCAAACAAAGCAAACGTGATGTAAGAAAAGTTTTTTTGCCCACAGCAAGTAGTTAGGGTAAGGAATACGCTACCTTGAAATGTGGTGGGCACTGGATGACTATTTGGATAGAAACAGTGAGAGAAGTAGGAGGTTGGCACCAGGTAATGACGCTGGTTTGAAGAGCTGGTACAGGCACAATGGGCAGAATGGCCTCCTTCTGCACGGTTACAATTCCGTGGTAAAGGAGAAGATATGTGTTGGACTGGGAATCAAGAATCATCCAGTCAGTTTGGGAAGGCAGGTTGGAGAAACAGGCATGTGGGCAATGCACTGACGGTAACGTGGGGGCAGGACAGTCAGAAGTCAAAAATCATGTGCTGTAATCTCGTAAATACATTTGGTCAGAGATGGCAAACAGGTTGTGGCTCAATGCAGCAGATTAATTACCAACATTCCAATACTCTCCCAATAATACCAATACTCTTACCAATTTTTATAGATGCACCATAGAAAACATCCTCTTTGGATGCATCACAGCTTGGTATGGTAACTGCTCTTCCCAAGACCACAAGAAAACACCGAGAGTCATGAACGCAGCCCAGGTCCATTACGCAAACCAGGCTTTCATCCATTGACTCCACCTGCTGCTGTCTT